GTGATTTCCTCTTTAATTATTACACTCATGTCAGTTTTAAGCTTTCTCAACTTTTGCTTTACTGGAGGGAACTTAGGATCAATCGGCAACTTGTGAACCACCATGTCAGTGCTTAATCCAGGCATGTCATCATAAGATGACGCAAAAACATCCTTGTAATCAAACAGAGCCTTGATTATATCCTCTTTTTGATGTCGAGCATGTAGCTTATCTTAGTCTCTTTAACATTTTCAGGATCCCCTAAATTTATCGTCTCAGTTTCACTCATATTTGGGTTTGATTTATTATCAAAAGATTTGAAATCCCTGCTTACTTCTTCAAATACCTCGTCTTCATCATATTCGATTTCTTGACTTACTATTTCAGGATTAGTCGAAGATTAGATTGGATTTTAAGATTCGGTGAAAAATTCTGCATGCATGTCATATCACTAGAATCGGCATAGAAAGAACTGTATAGAAGAAAAACAAAATAAATATATTAGACTGAAATAAAAACACAATTACATCCTATTGAAAAGGAAAATAGAGAATTTGAAATAAAACGACGAGACAAAATCCGAATTACAACCATTGAATAAATCGGATGACAATAAGAAAAACAAGACAGACTACCAAGACTCATTCTTAATGGGGAGAGGAGTGGCCTCCCAATTGTTTAGCTGGACATCAGGACCAATGAATTTCACATCTCTGTCGCTAGTGCCTTCTCCGAGTTCAACCATATCAGCCTCGACAAATAAATCTTGAAAATAATTGATCAATTCTTCGTGAACCTCCAGCACTGGCTCTGGGAGTAGTGACTCAGAAGATTCTGTTGTGCGGGCTTTGTTGAAAGATTTGTATATGGGTGATATAGGCTTGGTAAGTGCCCATACATCTCTCCTCTGCTTTTGGCTTCATTTTGTCCTCGACTCTAGGCTTGTATCCTAAGCCAAAAGTACCGAGACTCTTTCGTGGACTCACCGGATAAGCTCTCCCTTGCAAGAAGATCCCCAAGCCTTTACCTGGTTCAAAACCATGCTTCAGCATTTCATTTACCATCATCACGGATGCCATGGGCAGTTGTGGTTTTGAAATGAGATTCCCTCGAGGATATGCTCAACAACCACTACCTCAAAAGCTTGATAAACCAATGCCCATTATCATTATTTGCCTTGATAAAAGGGAGGGAAGAGTCTTTGTAGACTGACAGATCCCCCTCACCATGAACAATCACTTCTTGTCGGTCGTATTCAAACTTAATCATTTGATGCAACGTAGATGGGACTGCCCCAGCTCTATGCACCCATGGTCTTCCCAACAATAGATTGTAGGATGCATTGATATTCAGCACTTGAAAATTCACGGTGAAATCGACAGGCCCTATTTTTAGTATGAGCTCTATCTCCCCAATAGCATCTGTTTTGGTCCCATCAAAAGCCCTACACATACATTGTTGGGTCGTACCCTTTCAACATTAACATTCAATTTTTGTAGAGTTGACAAGGACAAATATTTGCCCCAGACCCTCCGTCAATTAGAACTCGAGTGACGTATGAAAGCTCACACTTTACAGTGATATGGAGGCCTTGGTTATGTCCCGTACCTTCCACTGGTAGTTCATCATCTGAAAAGGTGATGCGGTTTACCTCAAAGATTCTCCCAGCAATCTTCTCTAACTGACTCACTGTAACTTCATTGGAACATGTGCTTCATTCAGAATCTTCATTACAGCTTTACGATGTTCATCTGAATGTATTAACAATGACAACAAAGAGATTTGGGCTGGAGTTTTCCTTAACTGTTCCACAATGGAGTAGTCTGACAATTTCATCTTTCTTAAGAACTCCTCTGCTTCCCCTTCAGTGACTGGACTTTTAACTTGCATTTGGTCATTTTTATTTTTCCTTAATTCAATCGGGGCATAACATCTTCCCGAACGAGTCATTCCTCCTATTTCATCTACTTCTTCATTAATTTCTTTCCCCTTGTATGTCACGACGGTAGACTCATAATTCCAAGGGACAGCCTTGGGGTTAGTCATTGGAAGCTGGGACACTGGCCTAATGATCACAGGTGGAGTATAGGCTCCTTGCACGATCAAGATAGGATTGTCCAGCCCTCTTGGAACAACCAATCTTGCCTCTCTCTGACTTGCCCAAACATTTTCAAGTGCTCCCTTCACAGTTAGGATGGGTGTGTTTGATGGGCTTAACTTTTTCGACGTTTTTTCTGCCCCTGAAGGCACCGTTTTTGTCAAGTCAACAACTTTCGTCGAATTTTCCATGCCAGTTCCAACTTTAAGGATTGGCTTGTATGGGACTGCAACTTCTTCGCAACCGTTCATCATTTCTAACATGTTTGTTTCAGTATGCCTGGGTAGTGGATTTTGGTTGATGTTTGGTCCATTTGGGTTTTCAACGATAATTCGATGAGTATCGATCAAATCTTGAATCGCCTTTTTCAAGTACCAACACCTCTCTATGTTGTGCCCTGGGGCATCAGAACAATAAGCGCAGTGTTGAGAATAATCTAGATTTCTTGGGGAGGATTTGACATCTTTCTTTCGATAGGACTCAAAACATTCAACGTTCTTAGTTTTTGAAACAAGCTAGCATATGATTCTCCAATAGGGGTGAATTCATCCTTAGCTCCATTTCCCTTCTTGTATTCTTTTCTAGGACGAAAAGGAAGTCTAACAGTGTTTTGGTGAATTTGTGGGGGTGGTAGATGATTTTGAGGAATTGGGGCACGCCATTGCGGATAAGAAGGGGGACAATTGGTTGTGCGCTGAAAACGGGATATGGAGAGTATGGGATGGGATATGGTGGAGCTTGGGGAGGAAAATAGTGTTGCGGGGGATTATCTTGGACATAGGTCCGAGGTGCTGATACAACCGTAGCTACATCTTCCCTTCTCTTCTTCCCTCCAATATTTCCAGAACCATTTTGAAGCGCTTGTGTTGTGGCTTTTAAGGCAGCTTGGCTTACAATCTTTCCAGACTTGATGCCATTTTCCACCATTTCCCCAACCTTAATAACTTCAGCGAATGTCTTCCCGACGGCAGAAAGCAAGTAGTGAAAGTAATCAGGTTCTTGCGCTTGAAGAAAAATGTCAATCATCTCCGATTCCTTCATTGATGGTTTAATCCTAGCAGCTTGCTCCCTCCATCTAACGGCATATTCGCGAAAATTTTCCGTGGTCTTTTTCCTTGTGTTAGCTAATGAGGAGCGGTCTGGCACAATGTCAATATTGTATTGGAATTGTTGCACAAAACATCGAGCCAAATCATCCCATGTATGCCAGTTGGCAATATCCTGGTCTATGAACCATTCGGATGCAATTCCCACTAGGCTTTCCCCAAAATAGGCCATAAGCAACTCTTCTTTGCCCTCTGCACCCCTCAGTTGATTGCAATATCTCTTCAAATGAGCTATGGGGTCTCCGTGACCATCGTATTTCTCAAACTTTGGAGTTTTAAAACCAACAGGCAAATGGACATGGGGAAACATGCACAAATC